CCATCTCTAGCCATCTAACACCTTTTTTTCTACCATGGCCATGACAAAGAGTTCAGAGCACCAGGTATGCTCTGTAGAGCTGCCAAGTGTTCAGATTTTATGCAGTATTTGTACACTAAAAAGCATACAGTGGGTATCCAAAATGCTCAGCTCCCACCAGTGGAGAGCAGGACCTGTCACTGGAGAGCAGAGCTGGGACACTGGGTATCCTGAAGCACTTGGGCTGGATTAATCGCACAATTGTGTCATCTGTTTGTCTCGCCACAGACACACAAGACACCGTCTGCATATTTCTGAGGCCTTTTGTACAGCCTTAAGGACATGGGGAGGTGGAAACAAGACACATTCTTCACTTTTCACTCAATTAGAGACAAATAGCATAGTTCTTGAGGCCAGGCTCATCTGGGGCCGCTCACTTCAACCATCTGAACAAAAAGCGGTCACAAGCAGCAGGTTCCCCCGGTCCAGGTGGCTGGCAAGCCCTGACTGACACCAATTGCTGGCAGGATGCTCCCTGTCATGGAAGGGTCAGGGAAGATCCCTTTTCTTCTCTCGTTTTTAACTATGAGAATTTCTTATGTAGCTTTCTACAAAGACTTCACCGAAGAAAATAAAACCCAACCAGTGCAGTCTCCAATTTCTCGTCCAAAAGAACATACTAACAGAAATTTTCCAGTATTTTCAGAAAATGTTGGGCTTTGACAGTTTAAAGAGGTCAGCTGAAATATTCAAAAGTCACATCTTCCAAAACAATTAACTGCTACTAGCATGAAGAAAGGATTTTAAATCCTGGCATTATTTAAATTAGCATAAGAATTTAAATTGATATTAATTCTGTTTTTTATACCTAGTTGCAAGAGATGATGGAAGACTATGAAGTTATAGCCAATCAGAGGAAACAACTAATTATGGCAGAGGGTGGCCTGCATTTGAAGCATAAATCCAATCTGATCCTTGCCTAGTGGGATTATTCCTCATCAGATCTTAGTACTAAACTTTATCATCCACTCCACTTTAATTTTCATAACAGAAGTACAGTACTTTTATTTCACAAAGCAGAAGTACACAACAAATCAGAAGAGGTTGCTAAAGGCCACGAACTAGGAAAAAGACTCAGAGCTGGGACTAGAAAACCACAGAGGAAGGCAGCAAGGATTATCAGAAAATGGAAGAGGGTTAATTTGAAGAGAAGCTAAAAAACTAGAACTCCATGCTGCCATTCATGAAAATAAACCCAAAATCTTCAAAAGTGGTAAAAAGCAGATGAACAGGAAAAAAACTGTTCATGAATTTCTAGTTCTATAAGAACTAGGAGTTACCAAATGAAATAAGGTTGGATGGTTCAAAACAAACAAAAGGAAGTGCTTTTTCATCCAGCACATAATTATATTGTAGAATTATTAGACACAGGATGTTACTCTTACTAGAAATACACAGAGATGTAAAAAGAGATGTAAAATCAAAAAAAAAAAAAAAAAAAAAAAGGAAAAATAAAGTTTCTTCTGTGATTTTGCTTCATCTATCAAGGCTACTAAAAGCAGTGATGAAGATGCTGTTTCCTTTTTGCAAGCCCTTCAAACGGTGGAACTGCACATCCTGTTCTGCACATCAGCCCTGCCAGCCAGGAGTGGATGGCAGGTGGTCCAGCATCACAGCACAGGACTGCCATGCTGCTGAGGAGACTGGCTTGTTTTCAGATTCTCAGATCACTTACAGTTACAGGGACTGACTCACCTCAAAGACCAAAATTTAGGTATTCTGATCAGACCCTGTACTGATTTTTATTAGCAGGGGCCTGATGAAATGACAGAAGCACTCTCCACAGCACAAGTGACTGCTGCACACCATGAGAGCTGGTTCCAGCTTTTGTAAGCGACCAACTACAGTCCTCCTCCTCCTTCCTCATGTCCAAACTCCTGAGGTCTTTCTATGCTGACTTCCAAGGACACTGGCTTTTTGTTTGTTTGTAGGGCACGATGTAAGCATGACTTTCTTGAAGCAGTCTGTGCAATGAGCTCCACAGAGATGGAAGATATCAGTTTAAACACTGCCATGGCAGTTTGGCTGTAATACGGTCTTTTATTAAACCTGAAGATTAAATGCTGGTGTCTGTCTTTTAGGTACTGTAATTCTATACCTACTTTAATTTTGTTGCTGCTGAAATGCATTTTTCACTAAAATCCAAGATTTATTTTCCCCATCAGAGAGAAAGATGTAGGATTTTTTTACTACATGCCCTACTAAACCATAACAAAATTAATATAAAATTTTTTACCAACCTTTGCTTTACAGAAGGTCTCCAATCTATATAACTCTGAGCAAAGAAGTTACTATCATCCAACTTTCGAAGTTTCCTGTAATTGCTCTACATGAAAATCTATATTTTGAGATCTTTTGAGGAGTGGTAAGTATATAATGAGAACGCAGTTCTTAATAATTTGAGGTGCTGCAAAAGTAGACTTACATCCAGGTTAATGTCAGACTAGAAATACTAGAAAATTTTGAAAAGACTCAGTGGCAGCTTATTTACAAATATACTATTTATAATGAATACATTGATACAGAATGACTCTTATAAAAAAGCAAGGCAATCTTTTATATAGACATAACAACATTACAATAATTTGAATTAAAAGTACATTTTTTGTAGACTGTTTACACTCTCACTTAGCTTTTAACCACAAAATTAGTGTGGTCTGATATTTTTCCACAGCAAAGGTCCTGTGCAGTCCTGGTTAAGATCTAAATCAGAATAATAGTAAACATAATTTTTTTATATTTGCTAATCAAAAAACAAACCCATTCATAGATCCTATAACTTGTAATCATCCTTACTGTGCCTCGAAGTTTGTGTTGTGCAAATAACCACCAACTGCACATTCCCAACTAGAAGTTATTCTGGCCTGTCTACTTGATACAACTGAGGTGTGACACTGATAGGAAAATTCTTTGTTGCATCCAGATATGAAAAGTCTCCTGATATGGATTTGTGCTGATTCAGAAGTTTAATTTATTTTTGGATAAAAAAAAAAAAAGAAAAAAAAAGAGAAAAAATAACCTCAAAGTTTTCTAATTGTTAAATAAAAGATATTTCTCAAACTCTGAGGATTGAAGATAACACTCAAATTCCAGCTGACACAATGGGTTCAAACACTAACCAGAGAGACAATCTAAGTACTAATTGTCTGAATCATGTACATGAGCAAACACAATCTTCAAGATGTCTTAACAAGCACATTCCTAAAAATACTAAATCAAGGTGAGGCACTGAAGCAAATATTCTACAATCCAAATCTTTCTAAAAAGGGTGCTTGGAGGCCAACATTTCCATTGGCATCTGCCAAAATGAAAAGTCCCAATTATACAACTGCGTGACCCAACTTTACAAGCAGCATTTCCACTGCACTTATACCAGACAATTTTGGTGACAAACTTGGATATGGGACAGTGAGAGACACAACTTTAACAGGCTTATGTTAAAAAAACTTTTGCAAAGAATTATCAAAAAATCCCTATTTAGTAAATTAAAATGCAGTATGTGACCAACATGAGTCACAACAGCAACTGTTCCTCCTTTTCATGGATTAGCAAAACTCTGATCTGCTTTATACTTTTCCAGACTTCCATAATACTACATAGTCTATACTAGTTTAGCATTTTTCAATCAAGGCATGATTCAGGATAGTGTCTATGGGGCGTGAGTATGTACATAAACAGGCACAGACACATATAAAATTGGTATTTCGGCTATGGACAAGCAAACAAGGTCATGATTTTTCAACTTAAGTAAAGATTGTCACATTTTTCAATAACTGTTCTAAATTAGTTCCCTCGGTATAGCAAGGAGGATTAACATTTAATACAAGTATTTGGGAATCACTTGTTTCTCAATCTTATTTTCAAAAATGCTCTAAATAATTTATTTCTCCACCTCGTCTATGCTTTCATACATATATAGATACACAAATACATTTTTGTATTTATGTATACATACAGTTCTCAGAATGAAGTTCTTTCCATTCATACTTTAACTGATTAGGGCAAATAAAATTCTTGTGTAAGCCAGTATGTGTGTTCAAGTGAATGTCACCAGGCAATAATACCATTTAGAAACTACAGCAGTTTACAAACCAGCACCCTGGGAAATGTAAAAGTCTGTTATTTCAGGAGGTAAGACAATTTTGAATGATTAAAACAGCTGGATTTCTATGGCTCTATGTACAGATCTGGCTATAAATCCATGTATTATACTTATATGGATTTATATGCATGCCTTCCCAATCTGTGCCAGATAATTAATACTTAAACTTTTGGATAATTTTAAAGAACTTTTCTAATTCTTTTGACTTGATTTCTCCTGTACCAGAACTTCTCTCACACTCCTCTTACTCAAATCTCCCTTGAGACACTGAAAAAATAAGCATTCACCTCAAAGTGTATAAAATTAAACTCCTAAAACAGGGCTCAGGATTATCTGGCATTGCAACAACCATACTAGTACAAAGATAGTTGGAAAAAAATATCTTGTTTTTAATATAGTAATGAATTAAAACATAGCTTTATTTATTCCTGTAAGTGTACTGAAAAGAATAGTTTGTTTTTAAGTGAGTGTAACGAGCACTATTTTGGAAGCCAACTTCTCCACAGGAATTTATGTGAGAGTGGGTCAGCTCCAATCATACAGTCATTAACCATGTACCTTAACAAGGTGAATAATCAACATATTTACAAACTAAACAAATTCAATCCCTTGAACTCTTATAAAAACGGGATTGAGGAGCAGACAAGGAATAAGACCAAGACATTTGGAAACACAAGGGGTCGCCGCTTTTGCTTTAAGGAACCATATTAATCAAACCAGTTTCCCCCTTAGTGACCTGAGGGCACAAACACAGACTTTGTAGTATATTCAGAACTTAGATTACAGTCTTGATACTAAGCATTTCAGCATCTTCCTATTTTAACACCTTAGTGCTGAGAAAGATTAACTCAAGCAGAACTGTAAGGAACTAGCCTTTTATAAACTAAAGTCTAAACTGAAAAGCTACAGTAGATGTAAAAAAGAAAAAATAGGAAGGGGGGGAACAACAGAGAGAGTGTGTGAGAGAGAACAGAACATTACTTAGTAAAATCCAGTGACATCTACAATAGTTTTACAGCATGTTTAAGCCCTCTAAGGTTTTATATCTCCACCTGCCTTCCATTTAAAACTTACTCCTTGTTAATGAAAAGACATACAACAAAACAAATTGCAACTAGATCAAGGAAATATGTCTAAATAAGCACACCTGAAAGCCAGAAATAATATTCCCGAACTTCTGCATGTCAAACAGATTTCCCATGGCATCCACTGATTTGATTTTGTGCAAAAAGGTACAGTCCTGTAAGTCAAACCACACCAGCAGCAATTCCAGTGAATATAAACTGAACAGTTCTTGGGTAACCATGGAATGCGACTGCCTCAAGTTCTTACCCTCCTGAAAAAGGACAACTGGCCCTGCAAGTGCAGCAATAGTGTAAATCTCCGTGAAGCATCTTCTACCTTCTAAACAGCCAAGAAATTAATGATAAAATTCAATGTCCACTACTTACAGTGCTTCTCTTGAGCTATCAACATCTCTGCACAAATGAAAAAGGTGCCTCTTTTTTAATAGATCGGTTTAATACTGAAACAGATAGGATGAAGTTAAAAAGGAATAATCAAGATACTGAACTGAATATTTTGAAGCAAGTGCCCCAGCTGTGGGGAAAAGTGCATTTAGTTCAGCAGCAAAACAGCACAGTGTGAAGATATTGTGCTTGGACACAGAAGTTCCATAATGGAAGGAGGTACAAGGCAAGTCAAGATATAAAACCATAGTACATTGTTAACCAACCTTAAAACTTACATATATTGCAGTGTTTAAAAGTAAGACACATTCATTTATTGTACAAGGTCTATAAGGAATCCTTAAAATTTCCCGTTGTAGTTTATGACTCAACATTGTAATAAAAATGTACATATATATTATTTCCTTGTCACATAACTGTACTGTTAGACCTCATGGACTTGTTACTTCACACAATGAAAACCGCTCTTCACTGAGGATACTCCACATTTTTACCAATCTGAAAAGGTTTACTTGTGCTAGAAAAGACCAAACGCAAAAGGCTCAGTTCAGATATGTTATGCCTGCAACTGATAACTCAGGGAAGCAAGACTTAAAGGAATTCAAGCTTTTTTTTTCTTTTCTTTTTGTTTTGACTGCATCCTTTTCACCTGCCAGTTGTTCTGATGAGTATGTTTTTAGTATACAAACTGGTTGATAAAAATTCATCAGCAGAGGCATACAAATTCTAGATATGATTGATTAAAACAGAGCAAATCAGAATAAAACAAAATCCAGTGATTTACTCTGACTGTAAACAATATAAAAACACCATTTGCTTCAAATCTCAAAATAAGTTAAAAGAAAATCCCATCTTCAGGGCACGTGACCCTTTCAGGTTTTGACACCAAAAAAAGGGGGGGGTGTGAGGAAAACAGAAAAGTTCATTATATAAAGGTTATACATTTCTCTTAACTGAAAGTAAATCTAAGCAAAACTGGTTTTGTCCCTTAAATTTCAACTTTGAGTTCATTGGCAATTGCTTCAAATGAACTGGCATTTTCAGATTATTCAGATAACTTCCATCAAGATCAGCAAAGAAAACTTAGACAAGCATTTTTACAGAATAAAAAAAAAAATCTAAATGGCTATGATTCCTCTATTAGCAGAAACACATAATGCAGTCTTAAATTTGCCTTTTTATATTATTTATATATTTATATATATATAATATAATATAAACCACATATATTATATTATATATACATATACAGACAATTACAACATTAATGCAGTTTGTATTTTGTACAGTGTATTGGACAAGTCAATGAGCATCAGACCATGGCACGATATGGTCCCTGCATTTTTAGGAACTGAATGATGAAGGAGGGTCCTCCTGCAACAATCTGAGGTGGAAGGTGGCTGAGCGGGCAGTTCTCAATACTCATTATTGACAGTTTGCTGCAAAGAGCCAGCTCAAAGGGAAGGCTGTGCAGATTGGGGTTGTCATTCAAATACAGTTCTTCCAGATTCTCCAGTGTACCTGGTTAAAATAAAATAATAACTAGTAGTAGTATCTCTCCGATTCATGAAGTTTATAACTTTAAGACAGAAGCTCTAAGTACACTTCAAGACTGTTTCCTATACAGAACCTTGAGTAAGTGAGATTCCTGTTCTCAAGCACTGCAAGTTCTATTCAGCAGTACCTAAGCAAGAATCAGCATGATTTTGTTTCCTTTAGGAGGTTAGCGCATCTCCTTTAAATAATAAATGAACTGCAAATAGAGAGAATAAAAGAACTGAGAGGGACTTCACCTTAGCCATTCAAGAGCTATGCAAGTACAGGCAACATGGAACAGCTATCTAGTCAAAAGTACCTAGGAAATACTTACACCATACAGGATCTATTCTCTCTTTAAAAATATCTATGTCATTCCTTTCATGTAATTAGAATCTATAAATTAAAGACCCGAAGCCATAACTGCCATGTGCCACAGGAAAAAAGCAGAAGAGTGTGACTTCTCTGCACAGAAAGATTAACTTATGAATTTATTAAATGGAACTAACAAGTGTGAAAATTTTTTCCTGAATTCAAATTTTACAGTTTGCCTCTACTACAGATATTGCAATACAAGTTAACCAGAAGCTGGAAAACAGATTAATTTCTTTTTAAGACTTCCATTCCTCCTTTCAAAAACATATTAGTCTTCCCCAAAATATTCCCCACCTTCCAATCTTTTATACCATAAACATCTCCTATAGCCTAAGAGAGTATTTAATATTTCATAAGTGAAAGCAGTAGGCAGGACTCATGGCATGGAAAACCAACTAAAAGGAGAAGCTATAGAAAAAATGATGAGAAACAGTTGATAGCATGATACATGAAACAGTCACACCTGACAATAAGTAACTATTCTCTCATCTGTGAAGACAACCAGCTTTGTTAAACAAGCTGTACTCCTACAATGGCATTTTAAATGTTCTTAATTATTTTAATTCCACAGCATCCAAAATCTCTCCATTAGCTTATAAATTACAAAGCTTTGGGTTCAGATTATTTTAATTTTTTCTCACATTGTGGCACATACAAGATGAGCAGCTGTAATGGCTCCTCACCAAAGACGATGCGAGAGACAGACCACGCCACCTTCATCTGCACATCACTGTTTCTGACTACATTTTGCTTGGTGTAGTTTGTCCCATCATTTTTTCCTCCATAATAAGCCCAAACTATAAGACTTTAACTTAAGTCTTCAGAATCATACTCTGGACTAATACTGTGGAGACCAATTATAGAAGAAACATGAGCTCTCAGTTTCAGATGCTCTGAAACTCACCTAGTCTGAATGTCTCAGGTAGGCCAAAAAAAAAAAATCCTATCCCTTTCTTTCCTTCTGTAGATTTCCTCCACTTCCTTTTCTAACCCCATCAAGGTGAAAAACAATATGAGGGCCTATACACAAAAGCAGGTGCAGAAGGACTATCAAGAAGAACATTTGCTTTAGCAGTCTACACCTTACACAAGGGGTTTGTCTACACCATGGCATTACAGCAGGATCAGTGCACTTCTTTTCTCTAAGAATAGATTCGTGAAGTTGAGTCATGGATAACACAAAAATTGTGGGAGAATTTGGAGATAAGGAATGTCACCATTACAAGTTGGTGTGTGTTCAGCAGCTTTCTGCAGCTGAACTGAAAGAAAATAGTGCATCCTTTCCGCTGCAGTTCAGCAAGATAAAGATTGTACACTCCAGTGCTGTTCCTGTGGCACATACTTTACATCAGGCTGTACATATTTAGAAGTTTCAAATTAATTTTGTGGCTTTTACTGATGAGCAGAGTAGCTGGCTATGATATGTGCTTTGCCCAGACACACTGCATCAAATCAGACCATGGGATCTTACCAATTTCCTCAGGAAGGTGTGTGAGAAGGTTCTCTCCAAGCCCAAGGTGCGTCAGATTGGTAAGGTGACCGATTCCTCTGGGAAGGGTGGTCAGCTGATTGTTAGTCAGAACCAATTTCTAAGGGAAAAACACATTTTTACAAATTAACTTAACGAGTTTTGCTTGGAATGACAGCAAATAACAAGATATGTAGCTGACAAATCAATGGATTCTGCTCCCCTGAATTTGAACAAGAAAAATTTCAATCATTCAACAACATTTCAAATCTCTATTAAGCATCACTGGATGTAAAAATAAAAAGGTGTCTAACAAAACACATGCCTAAACATTGAAGATTTCATGAGTGTGACTGAAATAATTCCTGGGGTGGTACTGCACTCAAGGTACAACAGTTAAAAGCTACAAAATTTTTTTGTTGAGTATTAACTAATAAAGCTGGGGAACAGTTAATGGGGACTAATTGTGGATGAAGTTGCACAAGACTCTTTTGTTTCTATGTCCAGTTTCAAATAGCTTCCACTCATCCAACAAGCTGCAATTAAATCAACATGGTGTAAATAAAGGACATTAAGATGTTTATCACAACCAATTATTGTTTCACCTGCAGATCCTTGAGGTAAGCTATTTCATTTGGCAAGGATTCCAGTTTGTTTTCCTCTAGATCTAACTCTCGGAGTTTCCGCAGATTTCCAATTCCATGGGGAAGTTTCTTTAGGAGATTGTTTGACAAGATAAGAACCTCAAAAACAAAACAAGAACCAAACATAGAATTTCAGCAACACAGTGAGTACATAACAGATTTAGATACATTTTTTTTTAATATTTTCAAGCAATGAAATTACAACATTAGCATACATTTACAATACAGGAGTAGTTGAAAATTTATTAAAAATAAAACAAGTCAGTGATTTAACTTTTTTTTTCCAAGTTTTAATGATACAAATATATACAATTGTATATAATGTATATATACAAGGATATACTGCTTTCAAATATTATTTTATGCAATAATAAATGCAAAGCAAAAACAATAGAAACTTTATTTCTTCAAATTACCAAAGAAAAACAATTTCTTCCTGATTTTGCCTATCATTTTTGTTATGCTTCCTTATAGCCATCTCATAATCATGTTTTTACATTATTTGCTGCGCTTGCCAAATTCTCCTTAAAAAGCTTAGTACTTCCTCCCCTCCCTATGCCACTTTGGTTAGGAGCAGCAGCAAATAAACACACAGATGGGAGCACCCAAGCAGAACACTGGCTTTCCAAAACGGGCTACCATCACACACCCACACCTACTACAGTGCTGTCCTCCTGTTTTTCTGCTCCCTTCTGAGTTGCATTATAAATACCCCAGGTTCAAGAAGTGTATCCTTATTTGCAGGGTCAGTTAACAGAGTTATTCATTACTCCACAGGGAAGTTACCAGGGGTTACACTAATATACCATTTTTCCTCCAGAGAAACCCTGCAGTTCTTGGAAGTAATCAAGCCTCATAAGAGCACCTTGAGTATTCAGGTAATTAATTACTGATTAAACAATGCTATTATTATCTAGTTCTTTAAGATCTACATGAAACATGAGGATGTGAAAGAGGAGCCAGTGTGGACCCTTGTGCCAGCCACACACAACCAGCCAAGGTTGTAAGTGCCTGTCTTCTACCGATAATCCCGACTCTCACTGGCTTCATGCCATGTGAAAACACCACAGGCAGGAACAAAATAAAGACTTGGTGAGAATCAAAGTGAAAATCAAAGTGAAAAAAAGCCAGTGCAAGAGGATTAGCACAAGCAGCATTTATGCAGTGACCTTCGTTTATGCACTACGACATGCACAGAGCAGTGAGAACAGTAATGTTATAATCGCGTATCAAGAAACAAAAGCAGGAACAGACAATATTACCTACGTGCAATGCAGCTGACTTAGCACTGCTGTGGGAACCCTCACTTTTGTGTAAACACCGCCCAAACAGCCCTTTGTATTTGATTTTTTAATTACAGAGAAACACAGTGGTAACAGGTCAGCAGACCAAGCAGCTCTCCAGCTTCAGCAGCCGACAGACCACCAGCAAACCCAGCTGTCAGAGGTTACTAATTTCCCAATCATATCAACAACAGCCTTAACTTAAAAGGGAACTAGACTATTAAGTAACCATTACTCTGTTATAATTTTTGCCCCACACTACAGAAATAATTAAATATTCACAGAAGAAGCCACACTGGAAATTTGCAATTTCAAATATGGCATTTGTTACAGTTCTTTAACAAATTTTTCCCAGCAACTCACAGAGCCTACACAGTCCCCTCAACTGCCCAAACAAGTACCTCTATCTTTATGTCCCTCCAAGGCAATAATTTGTCTCTGCTGATGGTACCCTGAGAAACAGGATGAGGGGACAGAGCAGGTTTAGCTCATGCTTTTAACCTACAAGTTCCTCCCCCTCAAAGGCTGAGAATTCCCACCTGTCTGCCTACAAGGTTCACAGAGCTCAAGCCACCCCCAGCTGTCAAATATTTAATTATGTTTTTCTGATCTCTGCTGCTTCCATGCTGGTCTCCAGGAACTGAACCAAGTTCAGCAACATTGCATTTACAACACTAATTCGTGAAGAGAACAATTTTCTTTGTACCTGGCTGAAACTATAGCTGTACATACTCATACTATACCTGTGCACATTCATCAAGAGCCTAAAGAACAACATTCAAAAGCCACTGACAACAGCCACAAACATGCAACAGGGGATTTAACAGCACAGACACACGTCTTTATTTAGCTTAATTTGACCCAAAAGTAACATTACTTAAACCTGAAGTGGAGAATCCCTATATTGCAAGCAACACTTAGCTGTTAATTTATACCCTTTATACTCTTCTCACCTCAAGAGAAACAAGCCCAGATACATCCTCAGGGATTTTTGTGAGCTGGTTAGTCGCTAAGTTCAGTTCTACCATACTTGTCCAAGTCCCAAAGTCCAGGGGGAGAGACGTCAGCTGATTGTCCTGTGATTTAACACATCACACATTTAGGGTCTGCCCTTGCAAGAAGCTGGGAAGGCATCTGACAGATTAAACAAACTGCTAACAGAAATACTTCATAACAACATTGTCAATAATGAAATAAGAAGAATAAAATGTTGGCTATTGGACAATTTTTTTCAAATTACACCAAATATTAGTGGTACCAATCTAGAGTTACAGAATTAACTCTCTGTTACTAATATGAACTGAAGTGGAAAAATTAGAAGCACATAATTCTCAAGATCCCACCAAGTGGTTAAAACAATTTTTTGTTCTATTTCCGCTGAATACAATGGATGGTGGGTTCAAGAAAAGAACAGAAAGTTCACTGCAACTTACAAAGGTGCTATCACCAAATGTTTGAATCCTAAAAAATATGGAGTTTAAAAAAAAAATCCAAACAAACCGATCAAGAGAATAAACACCACTAATAAAACCCACCAGAACCCACACACCAAACTCTGCTGAGGAGAAAAAAACCCACCAAACCCACAACCGAAAAAAATAAAAAAAACTCCAAAACCCAAAACTCCCATATACTTAATGGCCCAGAGTAAAAGCATCTGAAATTGCTCTGAACATGCTACTGCTCAAAATAGTTCTACAATATTTGATTTAGACCAGACACCACAAAATGTTTTAAAAAATGGTCATACAAATCTCTGGTAAACAGGCAAAGTTAAAAATGGGTATATGATAAAAACTGGACTTAATGCAAATTGAGGATTCATTTGTGTCAAACTGTATTCTAAAACAGTAGCTGAGCTTAGCTACTGCTCAAGCATTTCTTGAAATAAATCTGTTCATAGAAAAATATCATCTATTTTCCCTACTTTAACTGTATTAGCACACTTGAAAGTTCTTTTTCACTGCCGAAAGTCTCTAGACTTAGGTTTTGAAATACTAGATTAATAAAAATTATTTTACATAATTCTCTTTATAATGTAAACTGTAACAGTGTCTGAGGGAGAATAAGCTAATCTACATGTTTGTGTCCCATGTGGATATTCAAGAACTTTGCAGCCAGCTTTCTTATTTTCATTGTTCAAACTCTAGCAAATGTGCCAAAATCTTTACTAACAAACATAAAGACAAATTAGTAACATCTTGATAGCACAATTTTAGACTAATACAGAATTATTTATATATGTGACAGCAGCAGCATCCACTTCAGCGTGATAAATTCATTCCTTACATTATTAAGTCTGCCAGAATTCACAGAGCAGCAAACAGTGCTTCTCATTGATTTTACACAGTAGCATGTTTCTGTGCCTCACCTTCATGTTCAGCTTACTTAATACTTTAGCTCTAGAGAAAATTCCAAAGGGGATTTTATTGATGCGGTTGTGCTCCATATTGAGAGAGTAGATTGTGGAGAACTGGGACGGGCCACCCACAGGATAGGACTGGAAGCAGTTCCTGGCCAATGTTAAACTAGTCAGTTTGACAAGGCTGGATAAAAGACCCTGTAGAAAGAAGAAAACCACCCAAGAACTTAGGACAGATTTATTTGAATGAATCACTTTTCCCTTATGGGTCTAATTAGAAATGTTTTTCCCCCTCAAGTCCATCCCCTGAAGACGTGTTGCAACACACAAACCAGTGTTAAATTTGATAAAACTTCCACCAGCAACAACCTCTGCTCACAGTCATCAGCCACTACCTTATTTCCCCCTTCCTCCCTGCACTCTGACAGATACAAAAAAAGCAAACATACCACATTTAAAAGCACAAGTTTGGGAGGTTTAGTAACTCTTTTCTCCTCTGAAAGCAATTTTTCTAACATCATATTGCTCCAGGAGCGGAGGGGCCATGTGTCCATCCCCAGCAGCTGTTTTGGCTCCAGCAGCTCACCCACATCCAAACTGGGCTCAAAGAAATATCAACCCCACACAATGGCTCCCAAAAGAGACATTTGATAATTCCAGTACAAATCCTTGGTAACTTCATAAAAATCCATATTGTGATCACAACTTGTCAGTGTCTTGTAATTATATAATAATAATAGTCTCAGTTAATCAGACAGAGAAAAAGAATAGGATGGGTTTGAAAATTCAGTTGTTCTTTCCTTTTTCTAAAATATTCCAAAATAGTTACTGCTCTGCATTTTTCCCCCCTCAAAAAACAAAAAGCAAGAAGCCTGTAGTTACACTGGATAGCAACAGCTGTCCATTGAATCCAGAGTTCCATCTCTCTTGACAATCTAATTAGATTCCAAAATCCCAGCAGCCCATATCTCAGTTTATCTGTTAGTTATGTGCCAAGCACGTTGCTGGAACTGTGGAGATGAATAATGAGATCTAAATTACTGCTGAAGTGTCACCTTTGCTTATTACTACACCAACTTGAATCCAGCCCTATTTGCTTAAGTATTACAGAAATTGGAGATTTATTCAGTATTACATACCATAAATAATGCAACATCTGCAATCAGGAACGAGCACTAACAAGATAATGATTCCAACCATATTCCTAATGTCAGTATTTGTGGATTGCAATTTGAGCTCCATATTCACTGTAAATGCTTTAAGAACATGGCTTAGCTGTTTCACCAGGAAAGCTTTGGCTGCTTTTATAAATAGTTTATTAACATTATGGTAAATAAAATAGCATCTAATAGGGACTTATCTACATGCACTGGCTAAAACTTTAGACACTGGGGGCATCTCAGCAAATATCAGTGAAATATTTCCCCACTACAGCTAAAATAATGGATCTTCAAATCAGTATTAATCTAACCTAATCATTAATTAGTATAATCGTTGGTTAGGAAATCTTGTTTCTACCTATACTTTCACTAACAGATATTAGTCCTAGGGTTAGGCAGTCCCTGAGCTCTAACACATTTTACTGCTTCAGATGGATCTTGGCATTTTAAAAGCTGGTTTTAAAGTCTGCTTGTATACCAAAAAAATATCTAAAATATGTCAGCTAATTCACTCTAATAGCCTAGAGTAATTAAATGCATTTGAAGGGAAGCAAGAGAGCTTTGGCAGTACAAAGAGAACAATGCTCTTACATCTATGAGAGCTGTGGCAGTGCTGCCTTCTTCCAGCCCATCCTTTTACGATAAAAATATTTATTAGGCATTGTGTCAGCAGCTTCAGCTATGCTTTGAAATTCAGAAATTTCTTCTACAAATACAGTTCTTTGTCTTATAGCACAACATGCTTTACTTTAAACAGATTACACTATAAACTATACACTTCTGTAAACTGGAGAGTTAACATATCATTGGCAAATATACCCGAAGAAAGCAGCACATCACAAAGGTTTGTATTATGACTGAATGTGTTTTAAAGCAAGTAATCATCCCTCACATTAGCTTTTTGTAATTACACCGTTGTTGCTTTTGTAACATGTCTGGGTGGGGTGGGCTAGCTTAGCTCTCATCCTAAAAGCAGCCTGGTGGCTTTCACTCTAGCATTTTCTTCAATTATACTCTTGCCCAAACATTTATTAAATTCTCTGTTTCAGTCTATCATTGCTGAGCTCAGAAATTTATCTGAGGAAAATCAGTTACTTACTGCTCTTTGCTGTTGTAAATGATTTGCCTACATTTTGCCTACATTTTTTTTTTATTTATAGTTTGCTATATACATCTTTAGATAACCTTTTAACTTGTAATGTACTAGTACTTTAGATGACTTGGGGTCATGGGGATGACAGCTTAGGAAAGCAGTTTACCATAATTAAAACAGAAGAGACTATAAACTTTATGTTGTGTCATGAAGTTTTCATCTTAAAAGCTTCTAAAGAAATTGAATAAATATCCAAAATAAGAAGCAATCACATCAGATTTTTTTTCTGTCATCTGAGCAATTACTTCCAGGCACTAATGCTTCATGAAGCAGAAACACTGAGAAACGCTTATCTGGCTTGAAGGGTGGGAATCTGAACTCATAATTTAAGGTTTTCTAAAGATACAGGACAGCAAATACAATCACATGTGTTGCTCCCAGTTTTGACTCAAGTTGTATGACATTAGTCCTTCTATACTGCTTAAATATACCTCTAATATTTACACAATTAACATAATTCAAATGCTTTTAAGGTTAAAACAAAGCGTGTTCCTCAGAGTTAAGATGCAAGATGAAATAATTTCCCGTGTTCCACTCCCATTATAAAACACTGATGCCCTCCAGCAGCATTCCCTCCCCAGTCCACTCCCTGTACTCCTCACCTCTGGTAAAGTAGAAATGTTGTTGTTCTCCAAGTTCAGCTCATCAAGTTCACTGCATTTTGCTAAAGACTTGGGAATTGCTGACAGCCTATTGTACCTCAGGCCAAGCCGACTTAGACTGGACAGATTTCCTACGGGTAGAAAACAGGTGTTAACATACTGTGAGAATCACACAAACACACAGAACAAGGTGTGACTTTTGATTCTTCTGCTGCCTCTCACCCTACACTTCAAAATTTCAAAAGGTGAAATGGAGCCATCATCCCAAACAGGATATACACAGGTTTCCAATGCTGAAGTCAACCATGCAGAAGTACACAGTGCATATTATATATTATTCTGAAGTTCTGCATAATATGATAAGCAAGCAAGGGTTATGTCCCTACTCTAAAAGTCCTTCTATCCTGATCTTTCTATTAATAAAACATACTATCATTTTCCAGATGTCCCCAAAATGACTTTTTAAAATTACAGACAGTATCATTCAATGCCATGACTCATATTACCAGAACCTGGGCATGCATCATACATCTCAGATCCTGGCAAAACAATTTCCTCTGCAGGGAACAACAACCCCACAGCTTTACCATCCTCCAACAGTAATAAAGCCTTCAATAGGTGATAGGAAAAACCCCAAAATGTCTACATTTTTGAGCGATACTTAAGGAAAAGTCTGGCAGGAGTCTACAAAAATCTGGACAGTAGTGCATGTAAAAATATTTCTGAATATTGCTAGGCTGATGATCCCAGTTGATATGTCTTTCTCCCAGGGAATAAAAATCTTGAGAAACTTACAACTTGAAAATTTTTCATCTGAATCTCCCTTTAGCTCCAACCTTTACCATCAAACAAGTACTAAAGACCAAAACCAGCTGCTCAAGGATGTTGTTGAACTATAGGGTTCTGGGGCATTTAGCCTGTCCTGCAGGTAGCAAGGCCGTGAACTTCACTGAAAAGCCAGCTGTCAAATTGTACAAAGAAACTTGACCTCTGGTTCACCCTTAGTGTCAGAAAAGGTGTCTGTGCAGGTGTGGACTTTGCACCAGGGAAGCTTAGGAACACAAGCAGTTCCTTGCTGTTTCACATTCACTTTTACAAACACCCATGGCACAACACCTTTGTTCTGCAAACTGAAGTACCAGAAAGATTAGAAAGGAAACACAGGATTTAACAAATGGTAGAATGAATAACCAGAAGTAATTTAAAAAGATGAAGGGGGCCTTAATATGTCCAACTGCTCATTACGTGAAGGCTGTATTAGTGTCTATGCATGTGCACTTATACAAAGGTTATGGAGCACAGCAAAGAAAGGAGTAAATGTAGATAATGTCAGACAGAGAAAAACTTCCAACAAAGCAAATGGCAAAATATCTCTTTCCTTAACCTGGTCAAAATATACAGTAAAAATGTCCCTATATCACCAAAGAGTTGGAAATGTAGATAACAAAAACTTGAAACTGGAAACAATGTTGTATGATTTGCTGTAGCTTCTAAAACAGAGAAGTCACATGAGCAGTGAAAGTAAAACAAATTAAAAAAGCACCAAAAAAAAAATAGAAAAAAAACCCCTTAGCTCCCCCACAAAATTGCAACTGAAAAAAAATCCAAAACCTGCAAACCCCTTAATAGAGAATAAAAATTACCTACATCTCACAGATCAAGAAAAAAAGAGGATGAGTTTTCAGTGCATATCTGATAATTATCTAACAACAAATTCTTGGCAACAAATTTTACTTAGTACCATCAACAACTAAATGTAAGTCAAAACATGTAGCTACACACCATTACTTAACTAGTAGTATCTTCAACTGGGATTTTGAGTTCTATTTTTAAGGTGCTGGATTCTAAGCAAGTTTAAAATTATTTTTTATAGAAGCAGCAAAGAAAGTCTTCACTTAATTGGAAAGAGGCATTTAAAATCCAAGGCTATCAATACTGTACTTCAGTGCACAAATCTTCATCTTTTCCTGTTGAATCCTGCAATCCATATACACACTAAAGAGAATAATTAAGACATATTCTGATCCTACGGTCCACTAGTATAAAGACACAGATTTGTACCTCACTTAGCTATTTCATGCTGTATTTGTGAGATCAAGTATTACTGGCTGAATAAAAAACTGGCCTCACTTCACACAAAAAAAATTTCTATTGCAAGGCTCCAAGATCATTAGGATTTGCCACCCTAGGGATGAGCAAAGCGTACCCTGACTGTATTTCTCTGAATTGTTATTTAATATTTTACTAAAGAATGAACAACAAACTTTACACCAAGTAAGATATAAAGCTACTATTCTTTTCACTACCTAAAACAAGCGCTAGATGCTGATCTGGATTTTTCAGGCAAAAAGGATGAACAGAGAAGCAGACAGCGTGATGCCAACTGTTGCTTAGCAATACAACATTGCTGTGCCAGTTCCAGATTGTGAGCACAGGCTGTATGTATATGGCTCTGTTCCTACCAGCAATGTGGCATTTCAGAAAAATGAAACAAGACAGCCACTAGAGAGAGGCAAAATGTACCATAAAGAAGAAAATGACACACGTTGGCGATCCTCATGACATTATCAGAAAGGAGGCATAAATAGCAGCTCCCAGTAACTCCTCCTTATCATAAGTAGCATTTCTTAATAGAACTTTATCACTGTTTCTTTACTAGATGTCTTTCTTCTCCATGGGAAAGGCATACAAAGGCATAACAGAAGACACATCCCTGTGTGTACCATATTCCTTATGATTGTTTTACACGCCACAGCACTAAATACAATTACCCCTGAGGACAAAACCAGTATGACTTCAGCTGGAGCTGCATCAGCAGCACCTCTCCCACTGCTGCTGGAAGGACTATCCTGGGCCCAGCTGATGCAGACAACATAAACCACTTTCTCATTTCAAGCCAGAATTTATTTACATCCAATTTACAGCCACTCAGTCTTCTGTCAACAAGGCTCAGATACCTTCTCATCCTCCAAGTACATACACACACCTCATTGTGAATGCATCAATGTGTGAAACCCTTATCAGCTTTTATCTTCACATGCTGGACAAACCAGATCTTAGTCCCAGCTTCACAAAACAGTATGACCCTTACAGCTCTTCCCTCTGCCCAGTGTGTTCAAGTTAACTTTTCTTTTTAGCAGGAATGCACCAGTACAATGTCAACATTTGCCTCCATGGTCCAGGGGCCAGCTGAAATGAAAACCACTTGACCAATTGTTTTACCACAGAAACTGTTACAAGCTTCTCAGGATCACATTGGCTGCACTGAACCATCAAATGATCCCACTTACAGCTCCCTGAGCTCAGCGTTACCTAGCTGATACTCATATTTGGAGTTGCTTTACAGTGCTTTCACTCATCTTCCAGCCCAGCTACTGCTTTCCCAGATGGAACAGCACTAGGTATCGGCTGATGGGCTGTCAGGTTAGATCTAAGGAATAAGTCAAGGAAGGTAACAACTGATCATGATCAGCTCAGCCAGACTCTCATCAGGATCATCTGCAGTTGTACTTTAGTCACTGAAGCTGTACCTCAGCAGCTCCCCTGAAACAGCCCCTTGCAGGTAATGACTCAGAAAACACTGTACTAGATGTACGTGACAGTTTGATAACCACAAGTGAAAGCAGATACCAGCAGGAAAAACAACAAGCAAAACCCTTTCCAACTTTTTTTCTTAGAGAGCCCATTATGAAAATCCTTGTAAACTCAAGTGCCTTATTCATTGGTACTTCTAAAAATAAGATCACAAAGCCTGACGAAGCCCTAAACTTACACCAGGCCTAAGCAAGTCACTGAAAAATTGGCTTAGTTCAACTTTTGTCAGAAACAGTCACTCTTGAGAAGCAGGTTTCACAGACACCTTCTCTCAGGTCCATTTTCTCACCAGCACAGTATTAACACCCATGAGCAGACCCCAGCTTCAGGGCTGAAGTAACCTAAGCACAGAATTAATAATCCCTTCACTGAAGTGACTTTATATCTTTCTCAGGATTAGCTGCTTCGTTTACACAGAAGTGAATAAAAAATCCTTGGAAGCACGCAAATACAGAAATATTAAATTAAACAGTTACAACAAAAGGGATGCAAAATAGATTGTTTAATTAATTATTTATTAAAAGTACTTCAAAAATATTAATCAAAGGAAAAACAGGTGTTTGCCAATCCCAAAACAAAGAGAAGACAGGAAATAAAGCAGGAAACAATGCTAACAAAACAATATTTTTTTGTAAAGACCACCTGAAGTGGTCTCTACATCTCTTTTTTTATCTTGATTATCATCAAAATCAAGAGAAAAAAGAATTAGCAATCTGAATAATATAATGAAATACAAATTCCTAATTCGAAGTCCTACCAGTGCTTTTTAAACAGAGTTACAAATGCTCTCTTCTTCTCAGATTTGCCACACCTCTTCCTTTCCCTCCCTTAGTTAAAATAATCCTTCAAATTCCCTATCCTTAGATGAAGGGTCATTATTAATGTGAAACTTAGTTCATCTAGCTAATTTGCTATCAGGACCAGTTGCTTTCTTTTAAATAAACCAACAGCATCATATCAATTTAAAATCTGTTCACTAGAGAACACATCTACAGATAACATTAAAAAACACAAATTTAACTTATAAGAGCTGTGCACATCAAAACCCCATAAGATCATAATCAACAATATACGTGAACTTCAGCACACAATAGAAAATTGCAGGAACTTGCTACAAACAACATGGCACTATTCAGTATTTCAGAGGGTCTAACTTGTATAAATATTCTTAGATTTTTATTTGATTCAACTTGGCATACAATGAGCAGTCACCTACCTAAACTAAAAAGAAAAAAAAGCTAAAGAACATGTTTTACATGGTCACACGTTATTTCCTAGAGTGCCATGTGCTTAATTCACTGATGGATCTTCTAGCAAAGAGAAACTGCTGGTTTGCACACAAAAGATACCAGCTGTCATTTTTAACTAACTGGAAGCAAGAGGTACAGCCAAAATTAATCATACTTTTTTTTAAAAAAATTAAACTTGATGTCACTTTAAAAAAACACACATTAATTAAATTTAATACACTACATGGTATTAATCTTGCAGTGAGAATAACAAAGACGATAATACAAAATAAATTTCAAATTGTATG